TTTTAATAGATTGATATGAAAAATAATTTTTTTAAAAATAAAAAAAATTAATTTAATATATTTTTAAATAAAAAATATTTTAAAAAATAATATTTCTATCCGTTGAGAAAGCAAAACCCTCACCCAAGCCCACTGACGCTTTCATTCCCATATTATTTATTTCTAAAATTAAAAACCCCAAACTTACCAATTGAAATTTGAAATCTAATCTCTCTCTCTCTCTCTCTCTCTATTAAATTTCCCAATCTCAATCTCTTAAGGAAACCCATCTCCAGATTATTGTTTTCTACTAACACTTGGATTACTCGCCACACCTTTTTTCTATCGACCCACCCTCCAACGCTAACATGTCCCATATTCTCTTTACCTTATTTTCTCTGTTATCTCACGGCACTCATTGCTAGGGGTTTATATATATATTTTTTCCTCTTTTGCGGTTTTCGATGATGCAGACTAGGGTTTGGCAAACGCGGATCTTGGTGTCGTTGATGATCTACGGTAGTCTAATGTTAATGTGCGCCGCCGCCGCCTCCTCCAATAAGGTTTCGATTTGTCCAATCGAGTCCGTCGCAGATTCGATCTTTGGGTTTCGAGATCGAAACTGCGTCGTTTCTGGTGTTGATGAATCCCCCTTTTTCCCTGGTTTCACCGAGGTAAGCCGACACTTCCTTACCTTAAAAAGAAAGTGAATACTGTGTCTTTGACATTCTTTAGGGGCATGAAACTTGAATTAGTTAATGTAATTAAATTAACCACAAATGATGATTCCTTGGATTTAATTAAATGTTATTTGACTGGGATTGACGACCCATTTCTCTCTAGTTGTTTAATTGTAGCTTCAAGATATGACATTGGAGGACAATAATTTTAGAGAAAATTTCTCTGTTTCTGTGAATTTCATGTTTTTTCTTTTTAAATCTATATTAGCGTATCCGTGAAACTCATTTGGCATTTTTTTTAGTGGGTTGCGCATTTTGCAGTTTGTTGCCTCTTTAAGAAAGTTTGAGGTGAAATTAATTTTCAAGGCCGAAAGGCATTATCTATCCGTGGAAGCGAAACATTATCTCTGCTAAAATGTGAAAGTGAAGCATTTGGTTGGACAGAGACAGAAATTTGCATCATTGTGAGTTAAAATGGATGTGTAATTCTAAAGAAGTTTATGTTTGTTGTTGTGAAGGGAGACGAAGTTTCATTACAGAAGGCACTAAATTTAGTTCAAAAGAATAGACATGAATACGTGGCTTTGCTCTTCTATGCATCATGGTGCCCTTTTTCTAGGACTTTTAGACCAAGCTTCTCTATCCTTTCTTCGCTGTATCCCTCGATTCCCCATTTTGCGATTGAAGAATCATCCATCAGGCCAAGGTTTGTAAACTGAAAAGATAAAATGCCATCTTTCTAGATTCTTATGTATTGTTGTGGTATCTTGTTGCCTATCTTGTTGCCTTGAAGCATTAATATTTATTGATTTTTCTGCAGCATACTATCCAAGTATGGAGTTCATGGATTTCCTACTCTTTTCCTATTTAATTCTACTATGCGTGTTTGCTATCATGGCTCCCGGACTCTTGGTTCTCTCGTCTCTTTCTACAGTGATGTTACTGGTAAGGGTTTCCTGTCCTTCTAGAATGTTCAACTGAAAGCTTTCACATTTAGTTTTTGTGATTCTGGTTTAATTTCTTTATCTCTATACATACAGATGAGTAAAGAAAAGTTTATACTAGATAAATTCAAACCATGGAGACTCATTCTTGTGATTGTTAATTGAGTATTGCGGATGACTATTAGTATGTGAACACATAGAACATGCTTCTTCATTACACTGCATTTGGAATAAGAAATGGCAACACATACTCTTCTTTCTTCAAGAACATTCTTCTAATGCCGAATTATATTTCTCCTGCGGGACTTGATGAGCATATTGCTTGGTTTAGGTATTAAGACTGCTTCCCTGGATAAAGAATCGCTGGACAAAATTGGACGTGCATCACACCATGAAAAACATGATGCCCCTGAGCAAGAAAGTTGCCCATTCTCGTGGGCAAGATCTCCTGAGAACTTGTTTAGGGAGGAAACATATTTGGCTCTGGCAACAACGTTTGTGCTTCTGAGGCTGTTTTACTGGACTTTCACTACCATGCTTGCTTTTGCACAATTTACTTGGAGGCGGCACATGCAGAACATGAGACTGGAGAGTTTGTTAGAGCATCCTCGGGCTTATCTGAATCGAGCAATACAGCTATTTAATTCTTTGAACGAGCCTTGCAAGAAGAGTAATTTGCAGGAAGGGGCATTGAATGCCAGGGCTTGGGCTTCCAAGTCCCTTGCTACAGTTTCAATAGGGGATGCAAGCACCAGCAGGGGTCCACCTGTTTGTGAATGTCGATGAACTTCTCTCTGCAACGGGAATATACATTCCCCTTGTCAAAAAAGCGGGAGGTGGAGCAGATTAGGGGTGTACCAACAGAATTTTGTTGGACATTCTGTTTATGCAGAGATGGTTTTGGTTCAAAATCATGTCGGTAGTGTAATTTGGGGTCCAGCATTTGTGACCACGAAGCATGTCGACGACGTTGTAGTGATCCAGCTTTCATTTGTTTATAATTTAGAATACAATTTATTTAACATTCAAGTGGAAATAATTGTAATTCAATTTGTGAATAGATCATACATGATTCTCATTTGTCTGGCCCCCGTTTATTTTCCGATACAAGTTTAAGCTTTTCAATCCGGGTTTCTCATGTTAATTTTGAATGCCCGGCATGCCATTACAAAGAACAGTGCCCTCGAGAATTTTGGAGCAATGCCTTTAAAGGGGCGTCTCGATGTCCTAGACCCAAAAAAACGGTATGGTTTCCTTCGAGTTCACTTTTTTCTCATTTTCTGGATTGGCCCTTAATGTACACGAGCTCTTGCAAATAACGTATATAAAATGTGGTTACACTCGTTTCTTCAAGATATATCTTCTTCCTTTTACCAGTCGCATGTGGCTGTTGGTGATGGAAAAGTTACACTGGTGATGCACAGCAAATCAATTCTTCAGTTTAAGGAACCACTGATTTAAAATCTCTCTTGATCTATAAATTCACCAGCATTGCAAGCGCATTAAATCACCCCAACTGCAAAAAGGTTGAGCATTTATCTGTCCTAAAGAAGCTTTAGCGATTCTCTTCAGCTTTTCAATTGCAATTAGAAATCTTTTGCATAAATGATCTGAAAAGAGAACATGATTCAGCAAACATGCCACTCAGCTTGTGCCGAAGGCCGTGCAGCGCCCTTTAATACAAGTCATCCAAAACAAAGACAATCTACGCAAGTTGGCAATATAAACTGCTGATTGCCCCAGTCTGCTCACAGCATATTCATAAGTGGAAATGGACAACAGTATTTTACCATTTACCTGCTCCCACATGTGGAAGCAAATTCCAGATTCTAGCATGCAGAGGGGGTGAGGAGCAATGTGCATGGAAGTGTCGCTCAAAATGAGTTATCATTCATTTAACAGGAGATGGAACTGCTGCATCTTAGATACATGGAATTAGCTTGAGGATGCTAATTGATTACCACAGAGGCCACATCTCTTTTCACTACCTGCCAATACAAAAATCCTTTACATGTCAAGAATCAACAGGCACTATTTTGCAATGTCTTAAACAACTTTTTTGAAAAATGCTTAGAAGTGCCACATGGCAGAATCTCAACTTCAGAAGTCATGAAATTATCTGTGTGCCTGTTAGTATTTATATATATGGTTGCAATTTATGCATGTAGGAAGATTTTTTCAAGGACAAATCATGAATAAATTGCATGACTGTCAAAAGGGTTTTTATCATTGACAACCTAATGTGATTTTTCTGAAGCACTGGACAGTCTGGTCTTGGATACATTGTTGCAGTATTAGGAAAGGAATATCGTATCATCATAAAATGTTAAGGAAAAAGAAAAAAACCAAGCCATAAAGTTCACATCTGTACAATACCTGTGATATATATTCTTTAACTCTCTCGTTGACTGGTCCATCTAGAGCTCTCTCAGCAAGCTCGTAAACCAAAGTGTTGCCTTCAGGGCCACTGATTTTTTCCTTCTGCAAATATCTGGAAAACAAAAACAGAGATGATAAAGATTTGCTGGACAAAGTGTTTCCAATGCTTGCTTGAATAAACACTTCATCTCATTTTATGCTTCTAACCTTTGCTGTACAAGTGTTTCCAATGCTTGCTTAATGTTTCCAAGGGCAGGATGGCTTTCATCGTTTTCAAACAATTCCATTTTCTTCAAGTGATGCCAGAGATTTTCTGCATAACAGGAGTGAGAGGGATCAAATTAGATAAGTAGATAGTAGATATGGTGGGAGAAAAAACATAGCTGTTGCGCATGCCATGCAAGAGTGAAGAGACAATGACTACCCTGGTGTGGGAGGAAACTACAGTGACCAAATAGTTGAGTTAAATTTAAAACCATGCGGGTTCAAAATAAGAAATGATCTGAACAAAATGCAGTTCCAAACCGAAGTTCCTGCCTCTCTGCTTACTCTATTGAATTGCTTATCATAGGAAAATTCAACCAAAAGACATACCCTCTGGGATTTTGCCTCCAGCCAGGTGCACAATACTAATCACGACAAAAGTAAAACCAGTCAGATGAGCAGAGTTTACATCCTCGACATATTTCCTATAAACATCAGCAGGTAGTTGGCTTATGAGAACATAGGATTTAGCATCAGCAACACCTGGAAATGATAGATCATAAGAATTATAACTGAAGTAGAAAAGGCAATCGGCAGACCAATTACTGGCATAATGATCGCATCAGTTTCCACTGAAGTATTATTATGAAAAAATTATTGATATTCAGCGTTCTTGTAAAAGACAACATACCCTTTAATGGACTTGTCAATTCACGACAAAAGAACAACGCAACCTTTATTAGTAGGAAATACCAAAATCTGCAAGTTGTTTAATTGGAAATTTAACTGATTCAAGCACTAAGTTGGCACACACAGTAAGTCGAAATCTAAACAAGTCTAATCCAAGCAAGCAACCCACAAAACCTTTTGCATACTAAAAAAATAACAAGACGTGAGGTAAAAGTTAATTACTTTGTTGGGAAGAAGCACGACCCTGATTGGTCGAGGAAGGGCGAGCCCTTTGAAGCTCACGCATTTCAAACCCGAAAACGCTGGCAAGCTTGTGTTTAGCCTCATCAATGACAACAGCGGGAAGGGTACGGTGCCTATAGTTTTTAGTAACAATCTGGGTTAGCTCATCTCTCTTAATTGGAGACCCTGAATTCTGGTGATTTTTGAACAGCACGTAGCGGATCACTTCAGCAACGAGCTTGTCCTTTTCCTATTGAAAGAAGCATACACTGAGTTTTGAACACTTGGGATAGAAAAGAGAGAAAATTGAAAGAAGGAAATACCTCTATCGAAATGTTTAATTGGGAGAGATCTTCACTGTGATTTGCCATCCTCTGTGTTTTAAGAAATTAATCTATAAAACCAAAACAGCGAAATTGAGATACCCAGTGTAATTAGAGTGATTTTTAGGGCTTCAAATCATATACATATATCGAGCGGACTGGAGATTCCGCCCCGTTAGCGACCTGTTTGAGAGAGACTCGACTCTGCAAAACCCTAATTCGATGTTTGGTTGGGTGATAGTAATATCTTCTTCTTCTTCCTTTTCTTTTGAAAGGGAGGGAGGGAATGATGCGCGAATCTGTGGATGGCGGGAAGCTTCGATTTTTTCTTCCCACGCGATGGTTCCTACTGAACTAACTAAACCCTTGGGACTTGGAGGCTTGCATTATATGAGGTCATAGCTTTCTTTTCGCTCGTTTATATTTTTAACTCTCTTTAATTGTGTTTGCTTTCATAAAATAATAATCTTGTAACTTCCATCTCTAAAAAGAATTTTATTAAAAAAAACATCGAATTCATATAAAATCAAATAAATATATTTATTCAACTGATTTTTTAAAATAAAAAATAAGTACATTGTTTTGCTTACATTTAAAATAACCAAATAAATATATAAATAAGAAAAAAAAGTAAATCAAACAATAATAATAATTTTTATTTAAATTTTTAAACAAATTTAAATAATATAAAACGCATTTTCTACTAAGATTATTTTTAATTATTAAAAATATTTAACCTTTTATTTTCTAAAAATATTTTAAAAAATAAATAAAATTAGTTAACAAACACAACCTTTGTTAACTAAAAATATGTGCATTTGTTGACATTTAAGAGTCGTGTTTGGTTATTATCTTATAATAAAAATAATGAAAATAGTAAAATCAGAAATGTTTTTAGTTGAAAAGATAAAAACAAAGATATAAAAATAAATTTATCTTTAAGATAATTTTAAAATGAATTTCTATATTTTCAAAAACATGAAGTACAAAATAAACATATCTTCAAATACAATATTTTTTATTTTTTATTTTTAAAATATTATTGTAAAAAACCTTCAATTTCCAAATTATCCAACTACAATATGTAATGATAAAAATAATTATTATTGTACTTTTAAAACTCAATTCGGGAATTGATCCAAGGCAAAGGCTAGGTCACTGGTCAAGCCTTATGTCATGGGTCAGGTTAACCTGAGTCAATGTGAGAATAAAAAATAATAATTATTATAATTTTAAAACTCAGCTTGGAGGTTGATCAATTGTCGGTTCACGAGATAAAGCCTAAGTCAACATAAGATTTTTATAGTTGTTATCATAATTTTAAAACTTAATTCGAGGGTTAACCAGGAGTAAGGCTCGAGTCATGGATCAGGAGGGTCAATCCGGGTTGACTTGAGTCAATGTAAGAATAAAAATTATTATTATCATCATAGTTTTAAAATTTAGCTCAGAGTTGACCAAGACAAAGCTCAGGTCACAAATCGAGATAATCAATATGGATTGAACTGAATCAATATATGAATAAAAGTGATTAATATCATGATTTTGAAACTTGACCCGAGACCAAGTTCAAGTCACGGGTTAAGAGTGTCAACTTAGTTGACTTAAATTTTTGTTTTAGAAAAATAATTAAAGTAACTTTTTTTTAATCAATATTTTTTTAAAAATTCAATAGGTTCTTAACCCATGTTTTTTTCGATTAGACTTGGGTTTCTGACCAGACCATATCTAATCAAATCTTCATTTATTTTTTTTAAAAAGTTGGATCAATTTAGGCCCTAGGTCAACCCATTAAGTTAATCCTGTTTTATAACTATAATTATTGTAATATTATTATTTTTAACACTCAATATAAACTAAATTAAAAAATAATATCCAATTATTTTTTTAAAATATATAAGTCTGACAACAATACATATTAAGGATAAAATAGACTTTTCATATTTTATTGTCTTGTCCAACATAACCAGACATGATATAGAGATAATCACTTTGTCTTGTATTTTACTACCAAACATAATTTTGTTTTTATTTGTTTTTTTGTCTTGTTTTCTTTGTCTCTATTGTCTATTTTTTCTATCACTGGATAATAACCAAACACTGCCCTATTAATAAGTTAAAACCCTTATGGCTAATAAATAACATAATAGATTGAATAATGTTGCTTGATGAATTTGTTGGGCCAAAGTCCAATAGCCAAGACTTGATAACTATTGTTTAATTGGCCCAAAAATCCTAAAAAATAAAAAAAGAATGAATTAT